TAACTTTAAAAATTCGTCGACGATTGTACGATAGTCGAATCGATAAATATTTTACATTCTCTCGAAACTTATATTGAGAACTATATCATAGAGATATCAGATGATCTAAATAAATATCGAAAATAGTTAAACGGAGATTAAATCTATGTGTTAAAAATACGTATACGTCGTTTTTTCTTAAAAAAATCAATTATTTTATTATTATTTATTCTTTTTTTGCAACAATTTTCTCAAAGTATCATTTTGCTCAAAAAAATTATGTGGTATGACAGAAATTTTTTTCTCCATGCACAAAGTGAATATATATATATTTTTTATCATTTTATATATTGAATTATTATTAGAAAATTAAATTTTATCTCAAACTATTAAAAATACTGATTAATAATAAAAAATTTGAAGAAAAAAATTAAAAAGAATTCTAAATTGAAAAAACTATTATTTATAATGTAAAATTATGCAGGAAAAAAATTCTCAAATCTAAGTTTCTAGAATTATTAAGAGAAAAGAATTATAAATTGAAAGAAAATTATAATGTGAACAACAAAAATTAAAATTATTTTTAATTCTTTTTTTTTTCAAATTTTTTACTTAAAAGTAACTTTTCGTAAAATATTTTTTTATTTTTTTATATAAATGTAATTTTTTTTCTTAAATCCTACTATATATATCTATAAGAGTGGTTGAGCATGGAGTGGTGGGAGGTATGAAAATTACGTATTGCAGCAGTTTTTACAGTATAATAAAATATTTTAAAGTAATTTTTTTTTTATATATTTCGACTTCATTTGATTATGTTTTTTTACAGTATAATAAAATATTTTAAAGTTAATATTAAGTTTTATTATGAAAAGAAAAGAATAAAAAAATTTTAAAGTACAAAAAAAATAAAAATTTAAGAATGCAATTCCTAAATAAAAAAAAAAATTAAAAGTATTACTCCATGCACGCAGGCTTTACATAGTAAAAAGTTTGCTTCAAATTGTAAAAAGATAAAAAACAATATATATATATATATATACACACACACACACACACACATCATTGTAGTTAGTTTATATAGTATAAAGAGGTATTAGCTTTTATTTAAAAGAAAAGGAAAAAAAAAAGAAAAAAAATAAGAGGATTCCGTGAGAAATGATTTTTTTTTTTACTTATATTTTTGTGTTCATTTTCAAACTCATTACGAGATATCAAACGAAATCGAAATATTACATTCTTAATATCGTTTTGAAGTACTTACGGCATAGTATTGCATGTCGTTAACGGTGCGTGAAACGGTCAATCATAGAAAATGTTACAGAACGTCAAAGTAGACATTTTCAAACTATATTTCGAAATTTTCGATAACAAGCTAACTTTAAAAATTCATCGACGATTGTACAATAGTCGAATTGATAAATATTTTACATTATCTCAAAACTCATTTTGAGAATTTTATCGTAGAGACATCGAATGATATAAATAGATATCAAAAATAGTTAAACTGACATTAAACGTATGTGTTAAAAAATACGCATAAGTCGTTTATTCTTAAAAAAATCAATTATTTTATTACTATTTCTAAATTTTCGATAACAAACTAATTTTAAAAATTCGTCGACAATTGTACGATAGTCGAATCGATAAATGTTTTACATTCTCTCGAAACTCATTTTGAGAACTATATCATAGAGATATCAGATGATCTAAATAAATATCGAAAATAGTTAAACGGAGATTAAACGTATGTGTTAAAAATGCGTATACGTCGTTTTTCTTAAAAAAATCAATTATTTTATTATTATTTATTCTTTTTCGTAACAATTTTCTCAATGCATCATTTTGCTCAAAAAAATTATGTGGTATGATGAAATTTTTTTCTCCATGAACAGAGTGAATATATATATTTTTTTATCATTTTATATATTGAATTATTATTAGAAAATTAAATTTTATCTCAAACTATTAAAAAATACTGATTAATAATAAAAAAATTTGAAGAAAAAAATTAAAAAGAATTCTAAATTGAAAAAACTATTATTTATAACGTAAAGCTACACAAAAAATAAAAATAAAAAATTCTCAAATCTAAGTTTCTAGAATTATTAAGAGAAAAGAATTATAAATTGAAAAAATAAATTATAATGTGAACAACAAAAATTAAAATTCTTTTTTCTTCAAATTTTTTACTTAAAAGTAACTTTTTGTAAAATATATATTTTTTTATATAAAAGTAATTTTTTTCTTATATCCCTACTATATATATATCTATATAAGAGTGGTTGAGCATGGAGTGATGGGAGGTATGAAAATTACGTGTTGCAGCAGTTTTTACATTATAATAAAATATTTTAAAGTAAAATTTTTTTTTATATATTTCGATTTCGTTTGATTATGTTTTATAATAAAATATTTTAAAGTTAATATTAAGTTTTATTATGAAAAGAAAGAATAAAAAAATTTTAAAGTAAAAAAAAATTATTTAATAATGCAATTCCTAAATAAAAAAAAATTTAATAGTATAAAAAGGTATTAGCTTTTATTTAAAAAAGAAGAAAAAAAGAAAAAAATAAGAGAACTCCGTGCACGGAGGCCCAACGGAGACTTTGGTTCTCCGGAGAGAAATGAATTTTTTTTTTTACTCATATTTTTGTGTTCATTTTCAGACTCATTACGAGATATCAAACGAAATCAAAATATTACATTCTTAATATCGTTTTGAAGTACTTACGACATAGTATTGCACACTGTTAACGGTGCGTGAAACGGTCAATCGTAGCAAATGTTATGGGACATCAAAGTAGACATTTTCAAACTATATTTCGAAATTTTCGATAACAAGCTAATTTTAAAAATTTATCGACGATTGTACGAGAGTCGAATTGATAAATATTTTACATTTTCTCGAAACTCATTTTAAGAACTATATCGTAGAAACATCGAATGATCTAAAATAGTTAAACGGAGATTAAACGTATGTGTTAACAAATGCGTATAAGTCGTTTTTCTTAAAAAAAATCAATTATTTTTTTCTTTTTAATTCTTTTCTCTTCCAAATAAAACTTAATTTTTCAGTTTTAACGAAAAAGTTATTTGTAGGTTAAAAAAATTTAAAAGAAAAGAATTTTAAAAAATTATATATAGTGTGGTCTCCGTACACGGAGGATTATTCAAATTTTTTTTTTAACTTTTCCATTATCATTTTCATACGCTATGGCCACGCCTTTTCAAATCAACTCATTTGCTTATATTATTATATTATATATATAGTGTAAGAGAGATAATGTGAATCTATGTAATACGCAACTTTCCATACCTTTCGCCTTACTCCGTGCTGACCACTTTCATAAGTAACAAAAAAAAAAAAAAATCACTTTTAGTAAAAAAAAAATTTAAAATAAACATATTAACAAAAAATATTTCTAATATATGTAAAAATTCCTTATATAAGTAAAAAAAATCGTTTAAAATTATTTAGAAGTAAAAAATAAAATAAAGTTATGAAAATTAAATGAAGAATATATAAATATTAATTAATTAAAATTGAAAAAATTACTTTATAAATAATTATTTTTTTATCAATTTATTTAAATTTCTTTTTAATTCTTTTCTCTTTCAAATAAAATTTATTTAAATTTATTTAATTCTTTTGTCCTACCAACCTTGGAGTGACTGTTGTATTGTCCGAAAAAGAGGTTGCTGTTAGGGTTCTAATTCTTACACCAATAAGGGAGTTGGTCATTCAGTAAGTGCCACTTCGAGTTATTTTACCTGCGAACCTGAGTTTGTTATTTAAATGCTTGTGTATGTGGATATTCTCTTTCAATTTACAACTGTATGGGTTATTTTTGAACTACAACTATAGCCTCTCAAATTGAAGTTGCTCAAGAAAAGCATTTTGCAAAATTCAATTTACAACTTATTTGCAATATCAGATAAAAAAAATATCTTCATCTACATTAAACAAAAAAATACAATAAATAATTAAAAATAAATTATCGTTGACATATATACAATCACAATATTCATTATACTTATTTATAAGAATAAAAATAAATTATTGTGACATAAAATATACAGTGGACCAAAAGATGAGAATCAAACAAACATTTCTTATTTTTAAATACTTTTTGTATAATCTATAAATTTTATGCTAATAAAATTAAAATAAATACAAAATTCGTGCAACGCACGAAACACAGACTAATAGTAAGAATAAAGCCCTTTTACCGAGGCCACATGTGCCTTGGTATACCAGGGGCGCCTGTAACCAAACAAGGTCCAAATAGTGAAAGGCAGTGAATATTTGGACATCGCAATCTCCACCTAGGACTCACTACGGTTTGTTTGGTTAAGGTCTACTTTATATCTTAATAAATAAAAAACTTTAATTCAAATTATTCACCTTCTTTTGTCCTCCTTAAAAGACGGTGTTTCATAGATTATTCTTCTTGAACATTGAACAAGGCCGAGTAGCATGACTTGTGTTGCATAATAGTTTAGACAAATTTTGGTTTAACAAATAATAACGATGAGTTGATGTTACATTGTATCAAATCACAATTCATCTCTTCTTCACCGTTGACTAGACGGATGGCTATCCTAGTATCCTTTCTTTTACGGTTTTACTGTCACATTTTCGGTAAAGAAATTTTAAAAAATTACAATAAAAAATTAGTTCTCATGGGAATTAAAATCAAAATTTTTAGTAACTTTTCGTAAAAATTAATCAAACTTGTAATTGAAAAGTTGCGTCAAAGCTAAAGAGTACACTGATGGCTTAGTGAAGTGAACGACGTCTTTAATTATAATTTATACATAAATGTATAGCCTATGTTATTTTTGCCTGATTTTCTTTCTTCAAATTCACTTCAATTCGTTTCGCCTCTTGCGCTGGGAATGTGGTATAGATTCCCGGCTTTTCGAGTCTCATTCAATGGATTATGCATGTGCAGTGTGTGTTTTTAGTTCTAACCTTGTTCAGTTTTACAGCAAAATCTCGTCATTACAGCTGTTGTTAGCCGAGTCATTTAACTTCCATTTTCATTTTCATTGGTGATATGAATTATAGGGCCCCTACAAGAGGTACGTTGGTCAATACTGAAATGGTTGCTTGTTTTATGTTATTTATCTTCCATAACTGGCGCCATTCTATTGGAGAAACCATTGGAAGCATAAGCTCATTGGAAACATTTTATACCTTATGGTGCTCCTCCGCTTGTACAGCACCTGTGCAGCCTCGCAATTATGGTCCTTTTATAACTTCTTCTCCCCCTTCAAGCAAACCTTTTTCGAAACCACTACTGAAGAAGAACGGATCAGTGTCCAGTGCCAATCACCCACTTCCAAGCTTGTCAGAGACTGCACCAGCTCAATCTGAACCTAGCATTTTACCCACTGGTTTAGCTCAGCCACAACTGTCTGCTAACTTCTCTAGTAAGACTTATGCTCATCTTAATTCATTTTTGATAGAAAAGATAAATTAAATTCATTATATTTTAAATGATATAAGTTTCCTTCTAATGTTTAATTATCAAGTGCAAAAACTGCCTCTTTATTTCACAGTGCTTTTTATTGCCTACTCTTGTCTGCTTTTTCAATCCATTGTGGTAATTAAGGTTTCTGGTGTGTTGTGCGCTCAGACAGGATAGCCTGGGCTGCCACTATGTATACCCAATAAAGCTTGACTTTCTCTTATTGAATGTCTCATCTAACCCAACTTGGAATCTCTTTCTTGAGTTGTTTGCTTCCCAACTAGGTCTATGGGTTTCTCAAATAGATATTATTAACTTTTATATGGTCAGTTTATCTAGAGTTAATATTTCAATGGATATTACTCCACATACGGGAATTAGCTTTTCTGCCAATGAAGCTACTGGAATAAACAATTCATTATCCATGCACAAAATTCAACTGGATCCTGTTTTAGTTGGCGACTACCAACTTTTGAACTTGACATGGTTTAAAGCCCCATTATCCTCTCTTCCTTTTATATGGCTGAGATCCCTGTAACATTATCTTCTTAAAGAAACCTTCGTTCTTCCTTTTATACGGCTGAGATCCCTATAACAATGTAACTTGAGTATCATGTTGTGAGGTATACAAATTTGTGGTTTATGCTTTTCTTTATCGAATCATCGATTTGCTATTCCTAATCTTGCGGGAACTTGGCAACATGCTGCCGAAGAAATGAATTGGACATTTATAATTAGAGTTGGCAAGCTTAGCTTAATCACTTTCCTTTTCATCCATTATGTATATAAAAGCAATGTAATGGAAACTGAAAGTAGTGGCAAACTTATAAACTGTATGACTTGGAACTCGATGAGCAATAAATCATGTGATATACTGGTGCTAAAATAGTATTTTTGGTTCAATCTGTTTATATATTTTGTTAATTTGGCTTTAAGGTGATGTTATAATTCCAGACCAGTTTGTGTTGCTAGTCACCAAAAAGAAAAGAAAGAAACCGCCACCACTCCCAAAGAGAAATAAAGAATGTAACTATATTTTTTTCTTCAATACAGCTCCTCTATCTGCTGCGTCTCCAACAGAAGAACCTACACACCTTTCAACAACTCCAGCAGCACTTGTCAATTCAAACAAAACAAACCGCACAAGTTTAGTTCTTATAATTGGTATTGGAGCCACTATCCTCATTGTTGCGGTCGTATCCGTCTTTGTAATTTGTTCATGCACAACACGTCAAAGGAAGGAAAACAAGCCTTTTAAAGAAATAGGTTTGTAAGTCATTGCATTTCTTTCCCTTTTGAGTTGTTGGGGTTGTGTTGAACAGGCTAAATAAATTCTAAGATGGATATTTCCTTATAAACATGGTTCATATGTCTTTTATCAAATTTCACCTTCTCATCTATTAATTTTTTCAAATAGCAAAGCAAAGACGGTAGATACAGTTCCAGCGGGTGGATCTCTTTGCCATATAACCAGTACAAGGTTTCTCACCTTTGAAGAACTAAAAGTGTTGAAGATACCGAAAGATTATTGGAGATTTGATGGATTATTTATTTCCTTATATGTCAATTTATTATAGTTAACATAATATTCTTTCCTTAGTTGTAGATACAGGATATATTTACTATTTTGGTATGTATTCTACTCCTATATACGAATTGTACACGGCTGGAATAAAGACATAGCAGTTTTCTCTCTTTTATGGTCTCTCCATTCTACTCCTTGCCCGGTTTCATGGTTTAGAGCCTAGGTTCTTGAGTAGGTAGGATGGAAAAATTGACCATGACAGGTGCACGCAGAGATGATGAATCGAGGTCCACTACAGCCATCTTTGAACCCATCTCTACAAGTGCACCCATGACCTCAAATTACCTTCCCATGGCTGAAAATACTTCCCTTCATCTCACCATCACCCAACCAAACAACAAGAACTATTTGCAATGGTCTCGAACTGCTCTCATGGTGATTCGTGGCCGTGGACGCTTTGGATACGTGACTGAAACTAAACCAAAACCGAATGAAGATGATCCTGCATATGCAACCTGGGATGCTCAGAATTCCATGGTTATGGCTTGGATAGTCAATTCAATGGAAGAGGATATTAGGGGATCTTATCCGTATTATTCAACGGCAAAGGAACTCTGGGATGCCATTGCAGTAGCTTTTTCAGACTCGGAAAATTCTGCCCAACTGTTTGAGCTCCGAAACAGAGCTCGAAATGTTCGCCTAAGGAGAATCGGATGTCACACAGTATTACAATTCCTTGCAACGGCTATGGAGAGAGATCGACATCTTCGTGCAAATTAACTGGGATACACCTAAGGATGTTGAACAGTACAAGAAGCAGGCGGAGAATGAGAGAATATATGATTCTCTGACCGGATTGGTCCCTGAATTAGATGAAGTTCGTGGAAGACTACTGGGTATGAAGCCAACCCCTGCAATTAAAGAAATCTTTGCAGAAGTGCACAGGGAGTCCAGTCGAAAACGTGTAATGCTTGGAGACTCCAAGCAATCTTTGGTGGAAACCTCTGCCCTTGCTGCTCGTGGACAAGAACCATCACGGGTAGCCAAAAAAATAACACTTGGTGCGAACACTATAAGAGATCCAACCATTCAACCGACCGGTGCTAGGTTCTTCATGGCCGACCTCTCAACCGAAACCAATGGACCCGAAGTGATGTGAGACCAAATCTGGTTTACTGCAAGGAGACTGAGATGCATAACTCGTTCGGTCTGCAGAGTTCGGCCGAATCACCGGTCACAACCCACTCGTCGGCTGCAACCCAATCAGCGAACATCTCTGTCTCTCTCTTACCAAAGACCAGCTTGAGAAAATATATAGACTTCTCAATCCTTCAGTCTCAACATCCAGTTTAGTGGCAGAAAGAGGTAATTATATGTCTACTGTAGCGGGCAAAGGTAACGTTAAGCACTAGGTTATCAATTCAGGGGCCATTGACCGCATGACGGGATGTGTTAAATTATTTAACTCTTACTCACCGTGTCTACATTTGAAAGTAAAGATAGCCGATGGGTTACTTTCTTCAATTGCTGGAATCAGAACAATTAAACTTCCTCCATATGTTGAATTAAAATCTGTTTTGCATGTTCTGAATTTATCTTGCAGCCTTCTGTCTATCAGCAAATTAACTAAAGATTTGCATTGCAGTATCAATTTTACTGAGTCAATTTGTATTTTTCAGGACCTGACTTCGGGGAAGAAGATTGACATTGCTAAGGAATGTGGGGACTATACTATTTTCAAGAAGACGCTTACTGGAATAAATAAGTGCACACTGCAAGTTGCGAGTCTATCTCTCGAGAACGGAAAATAATGTTGTGGCATCGTCGTTTAGGTCACTTGAAATTTTCATTTCTCAAACATTTATTTACATCTCTATTTAGCAATAAAGATATGTTTACTTGTGATATTTGCCAATTAGCTAAACACGCTCGCTCTTCTTTTCAGTCCCATGATTATAAATCATAATCACCTTTTACTTTAATACATAGTGACTTGTGGGGTCCATCTAGGGTTAAAGTCTTACGGGTAAACGCTGGTTCATAACCTTCACGGATGATCATACGAGACTATGTTGAGTTTATCTCTTAACAGATAAGTCCGAAACTGCACAAATTTTCAAAAACTTTTACTCTATGATTTAAACCCAATTTGATGCAAAAATAAAAAAAATTCAAACTGACAATGGGAGGGAATTCTTTAATCAAGTATTGTAAAAATTTTTCACTGAGAAAGGTATTCTACATGAAAGTTCTTGTGTTATTACTCCCCAACAAAACGGAAATGCAGAAAGAAAAAATTGACATCTCCTTGAAACTGCTAGAGCCCTTATGTTTACTAGTAATGTTCCAAAACTATTTTGGGGGAGATGCAGTTCTCACTGTCTGCCATCTCATAAACCGAATGCCTACGAGGATACATAACTTCACAACTTCCTTAACTGTTCTATCAAATGCTTACCCACAAATTCGATCTATACTCTCTATACCCCTAAAAGTGTTTGGTTGTACCGCCTTCACTCATAGCTATGATCACGACCGTACAAAATTGGATCCTAGAGCCCAAAAATGTGTGTTCTTGGGGGTATTCTCCATCAAAAAAGGGGTATAAGTGTTATTCTCCAGTTACTTGTAAATACTACATATCTATGGATGTTACATTCTTTGAGTATGTTCCCTATTTTTCCCAAAAATTCCCTTAGGGGGAGGATCGTGATGATGGAGGAAATTTTGATGGAAATTTTTAGGAAACTACACTACAAATACCTATAACACCCATAACAGAATCAAGACCTCCCTTTTCAAACGAAATTTCACCCACTATTCCTTCTCCGCACAGTCTTGACTCCATTATACAACCAAGTTCAATAACAGGGGGAGACAAACAACCTGCAATTGTACCTGAGCTACGTGTTTATTCCAGGGGAAGAAATCCTGAAAATGTGGAAATCCTACAGTCCAACCGCAAAACCATGAATCTGATCTGGAGTTAAGGTAATCTCTCTTTACCACAAAATGACTCTACTAATGATTTGGATGTTCCTATTGCACTCAGAAAGGGAGATAGGTCTTGTACACAACACTTTATCTCCAACTTCATAGGGTGCAGTCATTTATCCAACTCAGTTCAGACTTTAGCTGCAAACCTGTCATCAATTGAGATACCAACATATATTCATGAAGCCTTATCAATTCCAGAATGGGGAAGGGCAGTTGAGAAAGAGATGGGAGCCTTGAATAAAAACAAAACTTGGCAGATTGTGGAAAAACCTAAGGATAAGTCAACCGTTGGACGCAAACGGGCGTTCTCAGTAAAATACAAGTCAGATGGCTCAATAGAACGTTATAAAGCCAGGTTAGTGGCAATGGGATATGCACAGACATATGGAGTTGACTACTAGAAAACCTTTGCTCCAGTTGCAAAATTAAATACAGTGAGAGTCCTTCTAACACTAGCAACAAACTTAGATTGGAAGCTTCAACAGCTGGATGTAAAAAATGCCTTCTAGAATGGTGACTTGGAAGAAGAAGTATATATGGAACTTCCTCCTAGGTTCAATGAGCCAAGATCCAAGGAAAGGTTTGTAAAGGTTTGTAGACTAAACAAATTCTTATATGGGCTAAAGCAATCTCCATGAGCCTGGTTTGGAAGGTTCATGAATGCTGTTTGTCAACAAGGATACAAGCAAGCCTACACAAAGGAGGCAGAAAGATTACCATTCTAATTATTTATGTGGATGATATAGTTTTAACCGTTGATGACTGTGAAGAAATGGAGAAGCTAAAGAAAGCACTTTCAGCTAAATTTGAAATAAAAGACTTAGGCACTTTACGATACTTTCTTGGTCTAGAGGTTGCAAGAAATAGAAATGGAATTTTCATTTCACAGAGGAAATATGTCTTGGATCTTTTAAAAGAAACGGGTATGCTAGGAAGTAAAATAGCAGATATTCCAATAAATCCCAATCATAAACTTGGGGATTGCTTAGGAAGCTCACCAGTGGATCAAGGAAGATATCAGCGCCTGGTAGGAAAGCTCATCTACTTGTCTCACATTAGACCTGACATTGCGTTTGCAGTTAGTGTTGTGAGCCAATTTATGCATGCTCCATTTAAGGAGCATATGGAAGTTGTTTACCAAATCCTGAGATACTTAAAGGGTACTCTTGGCCTGGGACTCTACTTCAGAAAGAATTCAGAAAGATCTATTGAAACGTTCACAAATACTGATTGGGCAGGATCAGTAATGGATGGAAGATCCACAACAGGCTAATGTACCTTTGTGTGGGAAAACCTAATCACCTGGAGGAGTAAGAAGCAATTAGTTGTAGCCAAGAGCAGTGCTGAGGCTGAATTTAGAGCTTTGGCATATGAAATATGTGAAATAATGTGGTTAAAGTTACTATTGGATAAATTCAGTTTTCAGGAAAATGGGCCTATGAAAGTTTACTGTGACAATAAGGCAGCCATCACAATGTCTCATAACCCTGTTCACCACGACAGGACTAAATATGTTGAGGTGGATAGACATTTCATCAAAGAGAAGATACACACCGGGACAATATGTATGGTGTACTTGCCTTCATCTGAACAGGCTGCAGACTTATTAACGAAAGGGTTGTTTAAATCCATGTTTGAAAAGATGGTGGACAAGCTGGGACTGTTCAACTTGTATCGTCCAATTTGAGGGGGAGTGTTGAAGATACCGGAAGATTATTGGAGATTTGATGGATTATTTGTTTCCTTATGTATCAATTTATTATAGTTAACATAATATTCTTTCCTTAGTTGTAGATATAGGATATATTTACTATTTTGGTATGTATTCTACTCTTTTATAAGAATTGTACACAGCTGGAATAAAGACATAACAGTTTTCTCTCTTTTATGATCTCTCCATTCTACTCCATGCCCGGTTTCAAAAAGAAGCTACAAATAACTTTGAACCTTCAAGCATACTTGGAGAGGGTGGCTTTGGAAGAGTTTTCATGGGTATGTTGACTGATGGTACAGCTGTAGCCATTAAATGATTTATTGGTGGTGGACTACAAGGGGATCGAGTTTGAGATGCTTAATAGGCTGCATCATCGCAACCTAGTAAAACTTGTTGGTTACTGTAGTAATCATGACTCATTCCATAACTTATTTTTTATGAGCTTGTTCCAAATGGAAGTTTAGAGGCCTGGCTACATGGTAATTGTTCATTATATATGGATTCTTCTTGCAAATTATGACTAAGATGTGATTTAATTAAATGATATTATCGGTGATTTTTATAATTTCCTCATTTTACTACAGGGAATTTGGGATTAAGCTGTCCATTGGATTGGGACACTAGAACGAAAATTGCTGTTGACGCTATTAGAGGACTTGCATACTTACAGGAGGACTCACAACCTTGCGTTATTCATCGAGATTTTAAAGCATCGAATATATTGCTTGAGAACAACTTTCATGCTAAAATTTCTGATTTTGGCCTTGCAAAATAGGCCCCTGAAGGCAGGCAAAACTACCTGTCTACACGTGTTATGGGAACCTTTGGGTTAGTTTGTTTTTCAATTCTCTTTTTACTTCCAATGTTATAGGTACTAAAGGGGAAAATCCAACCATTTTCACCGGTATGTGGCCCCTGAATATGCTATGACTGGGCATCTCTTGGTGAAGGGTGACGTCTATAGTTATAGGGTGGTTCTTCTTGAGTTGTTGATGGAAAGAAAGCCTGTAGACATGTCACAACTTTTAGGACAGGAGAACCTTGTTACCTGGGTTAGTTATATATATTCAGATAATGTTTCATCTTTTATATTTTGGATAATCCTCCATCCTAAGTTTCTTACCGAATGACTGATATAACGTGTGGTCACCACACGAAATTGAATGCTCAACCCTTTTGTCCTAGTATTTTTTATTAGTATCTGAGTATTAATTAGCAATACTTTACCATACAAACATTTTTGACAATGTCTAAAGGAGTAAGCGACGTTTTATGGGTACAGGCTAGGCCAATACTTAGAGATAAGGATTGATTGGAAGAACTTGCTGATCCAAGGCTTGAGGATAAATATTCGAGGAAAGATTTTTTGCGGGTTTGCACGATAGCAGCAGCTTGTATAGTCCCTGAGGCAAGCCAACGGCCAACAATGGGAGAAGTGGTACATTTACTTAAAATGGTGCAGCGGATTACAGAGTATAACGATTCTGCTGTAGCATCCAATACTGCTTCCAATCTTAGGCAATTGTCCGTGACTTTTGAATCAGATATATCATAGTTATTCTCTTCTGGTCGGTATTCTGGTTTAAGTCATTTTTACAATGATAAGGTTGTATTTTCTGAAGATCTTCATGAAGGTAAGTAGGGTAGTATTTTTATCTAGTTTATTCTGTATGTTTATGGTGTCCGGGATAATGATGTCTGTAAGTCTTACATCATCTCTTGTAGAGAATGATTCTTCAATTTTTCTAGTGGTAGGTCATTCTCTGCATGTTTGGATGAGAGTAGTGATTCACTATTGGACTATTTTTGGATTTAGTTCTTAAGAATTCCTTCCTCTTGCTCAAAATATACCGAAGAGAATCTCCTTCACTCTCTCGGTACTTCTTTCGACTCTTATGATTGGATGAGATACCAGTAGGAGTTGGAGTCATATTACAAACTTAAAGTTTCACTCAGATGGAATTTAATATAGCTGGGAATCTTCAATATTGTCGAGTATATTAGGTATTACTGTTGGACTAAATGAATTGACAATATTGAAGATTCACAAGTGTTACACTAAAAACTGCAAGTATCGTTGATACTTATTAAAAGTTATATTATTTATATATATTACTAAAAATATTAATATTATTAAAACCCAAAGATCTTAAATTTGACTTGATAATTTCGTTTAACTTATAATTTTTTTGTGCATCATACTATATGCAAAACATGTTTAGAAAACTAGCTTCTGGTTTTAAATTCTTACCAATTATTTTTACAATTATTTATCATCATCTTCTTTTCACTTTTACAAGATTGTTAAAAAAGAGGTGCACATCTCCAATGATACAAAATCTAATCAAATCAAATTGAATTGGAATGAATCAAATATGTTTATATGAATTTTAGGCAAATCAAACCAAGAGATTATATGTGTCACTACTTTCGACAACTTAAATAAGGTGTAACTTTTTATATTTTGTGATTTTGGATTTATTTAATGATTATAAATCGATTTTGCATTCTAATATTCACATGTGTACATAATTTACTTTTTAAATTTAATATGATGTATTTATATTCAAACAAATCATATACGAATTTTGGTGCGTTAAAGTAAGAACTTTATAATGTATTTGAATTTGTCATTCACAATAAAGTAGAAGAGATAAAAATTCAATTTTATGAATTTAAGTATAAATTCTGCTATCTGCAGTTGCTTATTACGGCAACTGCCCATATGGCGTATGTATGCCGATTATTGATTTGATGTACAAGGCAATAAAAAAATTACTTTATTAATGCATCAAATCAATAATTGTCACATGTGTGTCACATAGGAGATTATGACAATAAGCGACTGCGAATAACATTACTCTTTAAACATGCCAATTGTTTGTAGCGATGATAGATTTTAGCAATTGTTTTGATACGCTTGCTTAATGTCAATTCAATTCAATATTTGATATTTGATACTTTTAATTCTTCATCCTCAAGATATGTTCTTTTTTATATTTCATTTCATATTTGATTATCCTTTTTTATTTTCTTTTGTGTAGAATCTAAACACAAAACAATTTTACCAAGATAAGTTCCTAAATACATTGTTGCCAAATGGCATCCTATCATATTAGTTAATTTTGAAAAAAAATATGTCAATTGATGCTCTTAAGGAATCTAGACCCATTCAAAGGTATTTACAATGGAACAAAAATGACTTGTTGTGAATTCAAGAAACATATTATTCATTCAGAAATAACCATTGGACAACATGTTGGAAAATAAGTTTTCCTTTCGTGCATCCCATTAATTCCACCAAATGATGAGGATATCCATTCAAATTCAAGAGAAAACAAATTTCAAAATATCTATGCTTGCAATTACCATTGACAAGGACAACAGTGCCCTTATTTGAGCCCCATTTTAAGGGGGAAAATGAATTTGTGGTTAAAAAATAATGAAAAGTTTTGGATTTACGTGTAATATTATTTTATTGAAAAATGTGTGGTTGAAATGATGTCAAAACATTGTAGAGAATTCTTTTTTTTTCCCAAAGAATGGGGATCAAACAAGGGCATTATGTCATGGGCAACTAAATCTCATACTTTTTTTGCGATGTTTCAATATAATCAATAAAAGTTGTAGGACATTGACAAAAAATGTTATGTATAAAGAAGTGTTATTTTAATTTTTTCAACCTTTCACATTATATACATAATCTATAAATATATTAAAAATATCACATAAAGTGAAAATCATTTTTTGAACGATTTTAACCCTACTACAATTTAATTATTTCAACAATACTTTACTTTTCGTTTTTCAATATATAATAAATATTACAAAATCTTTGTCATGTACGAATTTCAAGTTGTTAATTCTCAATTAATTAACATTTACATTAATCCAAATTTAGTGAATCTTGACTTGATGAATTTTGAACTATATGAATTTATAGTTATTATACATAGATTTATTTATATTCATGCATCTATGAATTTTAATTGGTATTGAAGTTCATGTATTATCAGTTAATTCTAATGTATCAAATGTATTATGAAAAATGTTGCTCATTTGTAGTATTTCATTATTACAAAAAAATTTGAATAGAAGTTGAGTTTTAAGAGTAAAAATGTCTTCTCTTGAATTTCTATACTAAATTTTATTTTCTTTATTTTGTTTGAAACTCTTTAAATCCTCCCAACAGATTGATATCAAATATTATTTTTATAGTACTTATAAAGTATTTATTACACATTCATCTTTGACTAGTTTCATAAAAGTGTTATTCATATATATTCTTTTTAACAATTTTTTTTTTAACAATATCAATTACATCAGCTACTTTACAAAACAATATTAATACTCCAATAATATTATGCATATCTTTCATCCGATACATAAGACGTGCAACGCACGTGCTTCCTACTAGTTTTATGGGGTTGACAAAGGGGGATAGGCACCCGAATTCAAGTATTATGGGTACTAATTACACCTAATATTGGGTGAGGACTAAATTAAATTTATGCTTATCAAGTTTAATACGATGCATTATACTTGATGAGTGATGAAATAATGAAATCAATTAACATTACAAATATGAGATGAACTTTATTGACCTTATCATTTAACTCACATGAAAACCATCTTCAATTTTGACCGTTACTTTAAATGAATTCGATATCCCAGTGTAAACTATTGCACCAAAGAAGATAAAAGGGAGGATGGGTATTATGTCATGGGTATTGACTACACCTAACATCAAGTGAGGACTGAATTGAATTTATGCTTATCGGGTTTAACATGATGCACTATACATGATGAGTGATGAAATAATGATATCAAGTAACGTTATAAATATGAGATGAACTTTATTGACCTTATCATTTGACTCACATGAAAACCATCTTCAATTTTGACCGTTACTTTAAATGCATTCGATATCTCGTGCGGTGTGAATTATTGCACCAAAGAAGATAAAAGGGAGGATAGGTATTATGTCATGGGTATTGACTACACCTAACATCAAGTGAGGACTAAATTGAATTTATGCTCATCAAGTTTAAAACGATGCACTATACATGATGAGTGATGAAATAATGATATCAATTAACGTTATAAATATGAGATGAACTTTATTGACCTTATCATTTGACTCACATGAAAATCATCTTCAATCTTGGCTGTTACTTTAAATGTGTTCGTTATCTCGCGAGGAGTACACTATCTATAATCTGTTAAAATATCACATAAGGGGAAAATCATTTTTTGGATGATTTCAACCTCCATACAATTAAATATTTCAATAATACGTTAATTTTCGTTTTTCGATATGTAATAAATATTACATAATTATTGTCATTTATGAAATCTATGTTATTAATTAATCAATTAATTAACATTAACATTAATCTAGACTCAATGAATTTTCGCTTGATCAACTTACATGAATCTAAGGTTATTATAGATAAATTTATTCATATTCATGTATTTACAAATTTTAATGGGTGTTTAATTTGTATATTAATAATTAATTTTTATGAATCAAATGTTAAATAAAAAGATTGCTCATTTATTATATTTCATCATTAAAAAAAAATTGAATCATAAAAATTGAATTTTGAGAGTACAATTTATTCTCTTAAATGTCTATACTAAATTTTATTTTCTTTAATTCATTCAGACTCATCAAATCTTTCAACAAATTGGTACCAAATATTATCTTTACATTATTTATAATTTTTTTAGAATAACGTGTAATGGACGTTCAACTTTGATTAGTTATACCAAAATAGACAAAGGGAGGATAGGCACCGGAATTCATTTATTATGTGTATTAATTACACCTAATATCACTTATCAAGTTTAATACAACGCGTGATGTGTTATGAAAAAAATGAATCAACTAACGTTATAAATATGAGACAACTTTATTGACCTTTTCATTTAACTCAAATGAAAACATCTTCAATTTTGGCCGTTACTTTAATGTATTTGATATTCAGTGTAGTGTACACTATTGTACCAAAATACGTCCCCTTAAGATTTTGCCATGTGGACCAATTCTGATTCAGCATCCTATTCATACCATGTTCTCCTGCACCTTAACGCACATAATCTCTCTCAATGCTATTATATATACCGTCCATGTCTCTTAACGTTTCGAGGGTCGAATTTCTACAAGCCTTTGTCTTTGTATTTTCATTTCTGGGATATTCATTAAATAAACAATCAAAAGGGCAAAAAGGAAAAAAATTCAATGGTCTCCAACTCGAGCAATTCTGCTTCAAAATCCAAAGTCAGTTGCTTTTTCTCGATTCTCGATTTTTTTTTCTAATTTTTATTACTTAAATTGTTTTGTATGTAATTAGTTACAATTGATCACAGCTAGAAGATTGATTTTTTGTTTTTGAATTTATTTTTATATCTCCTACAATTTAAGTTGTGATCAGTGTTTAACTATTGCTGTATATCTTTTTGTGTTGTAAGCTGGAATTGAGAAAATAAAAAATAAATGAGAGAAACTGGAGTGTTTTATTTGAATTCAGATTTCATTTACTTTAATTTTTTATTTTTGCACAGATATTTCATGGAGAACAGGGGAGTGATGCTGTGGGAAACTTGACTTGTAAATTAACTCAGCTGAGAAAGCAGATTCAAGCTGACAGAGTTGTTTCAATTAAAGTAATTTGCTTTCAAATGAACTTTCTCTATTTTTTTTTCAAAGATACCATTTGTGTATTCATGTATAGTTTTTATTTGAT